CACCCCCTCCGCCGCCAAAACTGCGGGTTCAATCCCACCCAGTTCCTGCATCCAAAACCGGGCTGCGGAGGAATGACGGAACCTGCTGAAAACCACGCCCTAAACTGACAAGCCCCTCCAGAACCCCGCCCCACTCCCATCCTGCCCGGGTCCCTGGAGGTGCTCCTCAAGCCGACTGGTAACAGCTGCAGCTCCCTGCAAAAACGGCCAGAGCTGGGAGGTGGGAATTGGGGAAGGGGGTGTCCAGTGCGCAGAGCCCACTAGTTGTGCGCTCTGGCCCTCAAAAACTGCCACGGAAAAACTTGGGACCTATAAGTCTCCCCGCTCCACCCCCTCACCTCGCACACCTCTCCCCCGCTGTCTCTAAGACAAGCGAGCTCTCAAACGTTCTGCCTTTACGGCCGCGGGGCCTCTCCACCCCGGCGCGGACAGTGTTCCTAAGGGCGCAGGCGAAGTACATGAACCGGACGGCGGAGGAAAGAATGCGCCTCCTCGAGAATTCCAGGGAGGGAAACTCGTGCGCCAGAGAATTTGGCATCTTCAAGGTCAAAAAAACAGGGCTCTGGCAGAAATGTGTACTAGGCGCAAATGGTCGCAAACCTGTCCCCCAAAAGGGTGTTGGGTTCTTCCCACAGCATGCAGGAGGCAGCCGCCGCCGCGCCCCGCAGTGGGGGCGGAACCGCGAGCTCTTGGACTTGGGACGTTAGGGGCCTGAGCACAGGAGGGAACCCGGGAGTTTCCGGCCACCTCCAGCTCGGAGGTCCCCTAAGAAGCTTGGGACCGCAGCGGGTGGCCCGAACGACTCGGGAGGGGAGCACGAGGCAAACTTGCCACGAGACTTAGCCACGTTGAGCGGCACTCTCACGGCCACTTACCGCTGGCGTTCTTCCCGCAGATGAGGTGCTGGTAGGGCTGCAGGAGCCCCCAGATCTCGGCGTCGTTGTTGACCGTGTGCTCCAGCGTCTCCACGGTGAACTTGGGCGCCTCGTGCAGCGTGTGGTGGTGGTGGTGGTGGTGGT